AGAGAGAGAGAGAGAGAGAGAGAGAGAGAGAGAAAGAGATAGAGAGAGATGGGGGGAAAAGGCAGAAAGAGAACAGCGAGAAAGAAATGGTGTGGAAAAGGATGGGTGGATGAGAAAAGGAGGAGGATGGGTAGGGGTAGGCGTAAAAGCGGACGTACCTCGGGGGCGGTGCAGGGGAACATGTGGCTCTCTGCATCCTCGTCATCAGAGTCCCCGCCTCTAGACGCCGGCTTGTTGTAGCCATCCAGGCAGTTACCGGCGTTACCTGCATCGCAAAGACATGCAGACGAATTAATACATTTATCGGAACGCGTTCATTCACGCGAACAAGAAACGTTCCTTTGTTCAAGCGTCTAGATGCCCTGTCGTAGGGGAATTCCTCCGATTTTCCCAGTAGAGGTCACGATTATCGATAGATTAGAGAGCGATGTATTGTAGCATGAATAGTATAATCAGAGATCTTGTCTAATAATAGGAAACAAATATGTCGTCTATATATTCGTACAACGTAGATATGTCATAGTATATATAGTCATATATTCATAGTCACAGCTGTATTAGAACGATATTCATGAATAGCATGAACAAATATGGTTATCTAATAATAGGAAACCAATATGCTCTCTAAAGTCGCGCACATATCCCCGTTCACCCCCCCCCGTTATATTGTGTTTTGACACGGACATGTCCGGCAGGGGACATGGTGCATTTGGCATGAAATGTTGACCTTTATCGCCCATACGCGATGTAGAGTATTTTTTGGGCTTTGGGTTTTTAGATAGGGGCTGTAGACCATTTTTGGTGCCTATTTTTAGATTGGGTTTTTATCAAGTCCCTCTCCAGGGTACGCCGGGTACTGGATGCAGGGTATAATCATGAGGAGTACAGAGGGAGGACAGAGGGAGTACAGAGAGAGGACAGAGGGAGGACAGAGGGAGGACCCTACCGATTGAGAGCTCGTAGTAGACGGGTTTCTCCCCTGCCTTCTTGTCTATCATTGTCGCCTCCATGATGCAGCCGAAGAGAAAGAATTCCTCCATCTTGCCGAGAACGCTCTGCGAAAAAACACAGACTAGTCGTGAACGAGCTCTCTCTCTCTCTCTCTCTCTCTCTCTCTCTCTCTCTCTCTCTCTCTCTCTCTCTCTCTCTCTCTCTC